TTAATTAATAAATATTGGAATGAATTATTTTCATATGACAGCATGAATTTTAATGTTTCACATTACAAAAATAAATGCACTCTTGCATGCATAAGTCTAAAAACAATATCAGAACTGACTTTATGTTCCACTTCTTGCTGTGTATGTGCAACTTTGGTTAATACTGTGGCATATTTGCTCAAAGCAAAAACTGTGGAGCCAGAGAAACAGCCACTGCTAGCAAATGGTTCTCCAACAACATCGCATCTAGGCAATGGCCGGGAAACAGACAATGAAACAACGTCCGCTGCTAGGCAGTAGATTCTTAAGAAGCAAGTATAGACGGTCCCTGATAAGGAACGGCTCAGTAAACACATTCCTGTGGAAACAGCATACGAGAAGGAACAATGTCGTCTGTGCGGGCTGTGCTGAGGAGTTATATGGAAGACAACTGGGGCAATCCACACAGTTCTGTATGGAAGCCTGAAGAAAAGAGTCAATGACAGTTCATTAAGTGTCAGTTGATAGTCAGGCAGTGAAGCGAAGACTAGATGACTGGAGTGAAATGGCCTGGGAGTTAGTTATAACAGAGGCAGCTGGAAGGGAGCCGCCATTCAGAGAGGACTAGCCAGTGTCAGAAGCTGTTACCAGGCAACGACTAGTGAAGACACTGTGGGCGGGAAAAGACTTAGTGTGAATTTGTAAAGTGTGGAAATAGCGACAGTGTTATAGTTATTTGTAGTTATGACCTGTAAGTAGTCAATAAATTCAATATCCAAACCAAAACACCATCTATAGCCAGTCTAATGCATGATGATATTCACTCTTCTTATCTTTATTGTATACAGTCTGTCCAGGATCCGTTAGGACTCATTTTTTTAAATTTTGCCCTGCAATGCCATCTATTGGCAAGCTGTGGCATTAAGATTCTTGAAGTTTCAGCTGTGGCTATCTATAATTTCAAAGCGCAAGCATCGCTGCATCATGTGTTCTGACCTTGAATGTAACAGTACTGTTCTGATGCTCGTCGGAAAATGGCAGTTGAACAGAGAGCCAACATCAAATTTTGTTTGAAGTTAGGCAAAACAGCTGGAGAAGCATATAAAATTATGAAAATAGTGTATGGTAGTGATTGTTTGAGTCGCTCGAACATTTTTCGATGGTATGCTGTATTTCGTGATGGCAGGGAGGACATCGAAGATGCTCCTCGTGCATCAAAGCCGAGAACAAGTTGCACTGAAGAAAATGTGAAAAAAGTGACTGAAATCCTTGCATCAGACAGATGTGTTTCTGCATGACTAATTGGGGAGCTTTTGGGGATACCAAAAAGTACTGCGCATCAAATTTTGACCAAGGAATTCGGCAAACGGAAGGTCTGTGCGCGGTTTGTACCACACGTGCTGTCAGGTGATGAAAAACACGCCAGAGTGGAACACTGCAAAGACATGTTATGGTTGGCCCAAAGTGATACAAAATTTACAAAATCAATTGTTACTGGTGACGAGACATGGTGTTTTCAATATGAGCCTCTCACAAAGCGGCAGAGTGCAGCGTGGTTGAGCCCATAGAAGCTGAAACCAAAGAAAGTGTGCATGCAAAAGAGTCAAGTAAAGACACTGCTAACTGTTTTCTTCGATTCGAAAGGAATCATTCACAAGGAATTTCTGCCAGGTCAAACAGTGAATTCTGATTATTATCTCAGAGTCTTCAATCATTTGTTGGTGAGAATTCTTCGAATTCGACCTGAATATTGAGAGCAAGGTTCCTGGTCGCTCCTCCACGACAATGTCCCACCCCACAAATCGAAGATCGTGCATGATTTTTTGGCCAGAAAAGGGATCACAGTCCTTGATCATCCTCCATACTCGCCAGATTTGGCTCCAGCAGATTTCTGGTTGTTCCAAAAAGTTAAGTTGACGATGAAAGGAGACCGTCACGACACCATCCAGGACATCCAAGGGAATCTACCGCAGTTTTAAATGCGATTCCACAAAAGGAGCACAGTGACTGTTTTTTAAAACTTTTCAATCGATTCCAGTTATGTACTGATTCAGAAGGAGACTATTTTGAATAAAAAGAGTGAAATTTTGAAAATAATTCATGTCTTGTATTTTTAATGAACACAGTCCTAACAGAACCTGGACACACTGTGTATATCACTACATTGAGGACAGCCACACACTGAACCAAAGAAAAATCAACAAACCAACAAAACTGTAAGTAACATCAGATATGTAGAGACAGAATATACATAAATATGTACCATAAAATAAAACTCTAATACAGCCCAATACATATTAAAGATAAACTGAACACGGCAACAGCACAATAACCCATATAACTTAGAATAGTCCGAGGCATTTACACTAAAGAAAAGCTGAGCAACATTACAGCAGAACAGTAAATTCCTTCATCACAACAACCTGTACACCTGATGATGGCCAATTAGGCTGAAACATGTAGTGATATACAATAAAGGGAAGACAAATGAATATTAAGAGAAAGTTGAACACAGCAAGAAGTGGAACACAAAGTCATATCTATACAGAACAACAGGATGTTGCAATATAATAATATTAGAACTACTGAAGTAATATTAGGCATTATTATATATTCACAGTGCTACAAATACAGGTAAATCACACCTCAACCAGAACCAACAAAACTTTTGCTGAAACATTATACTCACTGCATGTTTTCATACAATGAATTTAAATGCAGAAATTAAAATTGAGCCAGTCATTCTGAAGTTAGGTGAAAATAAACATGTTTTCTTTTATATGATCAAACATTTCAGATGTTAAACTCTTGATCTTAATTACAAAAGGTTAATTAATTCCGTCCAATGTGACTGATGAAGTTTTTTCTTTTTAATCTTTTATCCTTTACATGTTTCGGTCCTATAGACCATCTTCAGAAGGACATCAATGCAATAAGAAACCACTATAGGTCTATAGGACCGAAACATGTAAAGGATAAAAGATTAAAAAGTAAAAAGTTCATTAGTCACACTGGACAGAATTAAGTAACCTTTTGTAATATTGTTAATGTGATGGACCAGAATGAAACAAATAAAATCTAGATCTTAAAATGAAAATATAACTGATATATATAAAAAGAAAATAAATCACATGTCCCTGTCTAAACAAGACTCTTATTCATTATGCTTAATAAAGCCAAGAAATTTGTAACTTTACACTTTCACAACACAATACAAAGCAGATATGCGTTCTGAAATGACCTTCTGAATTAAGTTTAAAAATTAGTTAATAAACTGTCATAATATGAAAAGAAGGAATGGTGATGGTAGGAATACACATCAAGGTATATCTAGATACCACCTACGTTCAACACACAAAACACAGCTCCAACTGATCATGACTGACTGACCACGTAAACATTCAATGATAACATTCAACCTTTAGCCTTAACCAGTGGAATCTGTATGTCCCTTAGTTACCAGAAAACAAAGAACACAATAGGAAGCATAGACTGACAGTAAATGAAACTGTGGAACTCTGATATAGCAGACACATACTGGGCCAGCTTCCAACTTCAGAAAGTGCCAACACTATCAAGCCATCAGACTTGTCATCAGAACTGCACAAATGATATTCCACGTCCTCACAACAGCTTATAATCAGCATTTTCATTCAGAAGTGGCAAAGCTCACAAGTAAAGAGGAAGTGCCATAAATGATGCACAAACCTTCTTATACTACTTATAGACGATGATAACGATGCTGTCACCATTGTTGTCATCACCATCATCACTGACTCAACAGCCCAGTGTGGGCCTTGGCCTTTTCCAAAAGCTTTTTCCATCCCTATTTAGTGTCATGCTCTTCCAATTTCTCTCCCCTAGAAACCTGATATTCTGGTCCACATTATCCTCCCAACTCAGTTTATGTGAACACCTTCAGTTTCTTATACACAGTAACAAGTAATCAGTGAAAAAAACATAAGCCCACTTTTCAAATATACTTTCAATTCTGAGAATCTGAATTTTTCTGGCTTTTGAAACCTTCTACTGAAGACATGTATTCAGATCTCTCCAAACTAATTAGTTCACACAAGTACATTGTTTATAAACAAATAAAGACATTCATATAATCAAAGTAATCAGTAACAATTACTAACAGAGAGAAATCAAGAATACCCATTACTGTGATCACAACAGCACTAAACAAATGAACAAGTTCTAGAAAGTTGAAAATTTATTACAGATTATTTTTCAATAAAAGTATTTAATAAAATATTACATTGTTTATACTGAGCTTGAAGTAGGGGCCAGAAAATACATTCATTAAATACAAGGTTTCACCCAAAGCAAGAACACGACAGTAAGTGAGCCAGCGACCAACTACATATCTTGCTACATCACCTACATGTGCACCTATGTGGTCTAAACTTTTTAACAAGTAATTATATCTTATAAAAATGGTTTTGGCTGAATTTGTGTTTAATTTTTTTAAATAATTATCCGAAGTTTCTGTAGAGGTGAAGTTAAGATCCAGATTAAGAATTATCACAAATCCTAACCATAACTGTACATCATTTTTGATTTTCATGAGAGCAAATTTCCATAACCTGAATGTCTGTAATGTAAGTGGACACTGCACTTCACAGGTATATTCTAAGACATGGGTATCAACACAACAAAAGAACACACTGTCTCCATCTTCACAGTAGAGATTACTCTGAAGATGGTATCATTATGTTCCTCCACAATATTAATACCCACCTACCACAGTCTACTGTGTCACAATCCAGAAGACCACAATATGAATCTTCAACACTGTGCAAACTTCAGATCTTTGCCTTCACAAGCAACTGGATGACAGAACATATGCACACATGGGCAGGTACCATTCTCTGTTTCCTTACAAATAAAGCACTCTATAGTTTCACAGAAAAATATTCTACTTACCTAAGGGCATCTGGCAGTAATCCTTTCAGTGCTACAGTAACAGCATCCAAGCCAGGTGAGACAATAACATTCTTCACACCTTCGATGTCTGCTAACTTTTGTTTCAACAGCTCAGTATCTATCTGTGGCTTGGCACCATCTGGCATGAAATAGATTAAGTAAATATCAGAACACATTTATTTTATGGAGAAGACAGATTAAGTGAGTTTCATAAGTCTTTGTTTTGAAGAAGGCTAGAGCCATATTGCTTTGGCCAGAATTACTGAAGCCCAGATAAAGTAAAGTGACAAAATGATTCAAAAGATAGTAAAACATGAAAGAATGACATAGAGTACAATGGATCTGTGATTGTTATCGAATGAAGGAATGAATCCACTGATGATATTTGCGTTCAAAACAGAATACAATCGTAACACAAAAAGTAAGAGAACAATATGCAATTTTTAAACCAAAACCTTACACACTGCATCAACATAAGTAGCAACATATGATTAATTTGTACATTTAATATCTCTGGTGGAAGGAAACAGGGGATGGCGATAAATGGGTGAGTCATGGGACAGATGAATGTAAATACAGTAAAAACGCCAACTCATACACTAGCATTAGATTAACTGTGAATTCCTTTCTGTGAATGTATATACGAGATCATCTTAGGGTAAATCACCTGGCTACCTGGACAAATGAGACACATGTTACCTGTGCCACTCTGGCCCACCCACGCTCAGTCCTGCACTGCCATCAACAAACTCTCTGGCCAAAAAATTGCAACTGAAGTCCCCAAAGACTATAGCAGATACTGGAAATTCTTCCCACTGTTACCCATACATTCCTCACCTCTCCAGATGAAGTTCATATTCAAGCACGAAGTTCAGACTTGAGACTCAAGTATCCTGTGCAAGGTATCTAAGACATTTCGGGAATGTTCAAGCCTTGCACCAGGATATTATCCACTTTCTCATCAGTAAGCACTTCATATGTTTTATTAAATAATGGTCCTGTTTGACTTGATTCATTTACAACTGTACAAATAGTTTTCTCCTATATTCTGAAATCTATACCAGAATATTCTCCTTACTTTCAAGGAGGATGAGGTGGGCAGGTAATGTAGCATGAATGGGGGAGATGAGGAATGCATATAGGTGGGAAAGCCAGAAGGAAAGAGACCACAGGGAAGACCAAGGCGTAGGTGGGTGGACAATATTAGAATGGATCTTAGAGAGATAGGATGGGATGGGATGGTATGGATTGGATAGATCTGACTCAGGATAGGGACCAGTGGAGGGCTCTTGTGAACACGGTAATGAATCTTTGGGTTCCATAAAATGCTGGGAAATTCTTGAGTAGCTGCAGAATTGGTGGCTCCTCCAGAAGGGCTCAGCTCCATGAGTAAGTAAGCAAGTAATACTGTCCTTACTTTTCAGATGGGCATCATACATGAACACTCATTGCTTCAATGTGTAGCTCACACAAAACATTCCAACATACAAAAGTAATGTGACCAACTGAATTTTTAATATTATAGCAGGGTGTTGATTTACAGTCAACAAGCACATTATGCATAAGCTCACTTCATGGTGTCTGTTCAATAGTTTACTGGGTCAGTATTTTAATGTGAATGGCCAGAGCGTTGTTAGATAATGGACTGGTGAACACCCCGTGACTGCATACACATAAGACAACATTAGAAGATGTGTCTCATGAGGAATGTTACTGCACGTTGCCAGGCAACAGCACATCAATAAAGACACTGGCAAGGATTCATGTGACTTAATTTCTGTGTGGTCTTCCTTATGCAACAATAGAACTGGATTTTCTGTGTGTGGCCTGTGCCAAGCCTATATAAGAAGCAGTGAAGATTATTGACAGGATATGTCAGGAAGACATCATTCAAGGCAGCTCAGTAGTTGATGTGTTAACCTTGAGAGTGTTATAATTGTTTGTGTGTCAGAGATAACAGTAATCTTGAAAGTGTAATAATGAATTGTAGTTATGATCCAATAAATCGAATTATCAAATCCGGAATCCATTATTTATTGTCACGTTACCCAGATACATGTGACAGTATTGAGCATAAGTTGTAATCTGTAACGGTTACTAGCCTGTCAAACACTCTACCAGTCTGAATGCAAATGGGCCAGATTGAAGTGATGAACATGTCTGTTCCACCTAAGTAGCTGACAACTTGTGGCAGGTTATGGAATGATTTCCCTGCAGAAGAGAATACTGCTTCCATTTCAGGGAAATTATGAGTTCTCATATGAAGATACAGTGAAAGTATTTTTATTTACCTGCATATATCACTGTTTGGTTGGGAGGCAATAACATTAGGTAGAGTCATTCACAATTAGTTCATGAAATAGAATTATTTAGCATACTAAAGCATGTGCCAGGATAGACTGCACCCAAGGAAAGAAAAATAATATACAGGGCTAAGATGGAAAAGTGTACTGTTTTTACGTAATGAGAAGGTAGTTCTAGTGGACATAAATACTGTAAAAGAAAATCAGAAATGGTTCTTAGGGGACCAAATCAAATCCTATCATGAGCATATTACGTGCACACAAAATTACTGGGTTTTCAGACTTTGTCCATCCTCTGGTATTCTAAAAAATAGAAAACACAATGCTTTGGAAAGTGGATCTGTTTCTCTCCTCAGGTAAGGGGGAAGACACCTACTCTGCTGGGAAGGGAACATATCCAGTTTCCAAAACACTGCTTTTTTCTAGTCTTTAGAATACCAGACAAAGAGCAACGTTCTAAAACCTAGTAATTCTGAGTGTTATATACCATCGTCAGAACTCATTAGAAGCTACTTGATTATGAGCAGTTAAAATGGGTCAAAGCAAAGTAAAAGGCAAAAGGTTGGCACTCAAGTTAAAAGTGACACTTGAAATTCTTGTGGAAGTATATTTCCAGCCTTTCCTAACCTACGGCACTAGATGGAGGTGAGTGGCTGGTGTCATGCTCACCCAGCATCAAAGGAATTCATTAGATTTCACTGACTGCTAAAGACCAGTCATGAAATAAAGCACTGGAAGGTTTACTATCAGAATGGGTATAATAAAATGTGTGTGGGGTTTTATGTAGTTTTGTCATTACTCCAATGACAACCCATTTCTTCGGAAAAGTTTGTTGGTCCTGAAAAGGACCGTGGTTGCTGAGATGCTTGACCAGTGAGATAGTGCGGCGCGTGCCGGTAGGGAGAGAGGTTAGTTGCGGTGATTTGACTGGCCACAGCGTGGCCGTTGCTGGAGGTTGCTTGATTGCCATGCGGCAGGGGAGTTGAAGTTGCGTGGTCGCGCAGCACGGTCGTAGGAGTGATGAGGCAGTGGCTACGCCAGATGCCCAGTGGGTCGGAGAGGGACACGACCACCGGCGAGTCCAGGCGAGGTGTCCCAGTGCATCGGGTGTGAGAGCCGGAGAGCCGAGGCAGTCATGCCTGGCGCAGCCTGCCGATGCCTCCGAAGACCAAGCGCTGGCGACGAAGCCTGCTGGTTGATGTTGCTTGGTGTAGCTTGATCGTAGACTGAAGTCAGACTGATGCTGCCGGTTTGCGGCTGCTCCCTTTTATACACTGCTCGGTGGGCGGAGCGAGACTTGAAATTGAGGAGGAAGAATTTGCAGGGCGCTGACTGGCTAGCGCGCATGATGATGTAGATGCAGGGCTAGCAGCAAGCGCAGTATAAATGCGAACATTTGGAGCAATTTGATTGCTTAGCGCGCGTGATGGTGAAAAGTGATGTGAAGAGTGTGCGTTGCAGAAAATGCGTGACAATGTGGGATGTTCCCACATGTGCTTCAAAATGAAGTTTCAATGGCACAGGATATATTGTGATATATAAATAAATGACTAAGCACTATAACATCATTAAAAGAATAAAGCAGAGGCCACTCAGAGATCTGAAGAAATATTTGTTTCAGTTAATAGATACAAGGTTATGTCACAAGCCACTACTGAACACATGGATTTTACTGTCACCACTGCTTACCTTTAAAAAAGAAAACTATTTCTTGAGTTTCACTTGACTCTTTTACAGACGCTTCAAAACCCATATCAGAAATTTTCTCTGCAAGAATCCTTGGAGAAAGTTTTGACTGAGGTGCAAATACCACATACACTTCACCCTTCTCCAGCGATATCTTAATGTCTGTTACTCCCTCAAGCTGTTCAATGTTAGATTCTATGGTTGATGCGCACGATGTGCACGTCATTCCTTGAACTGACAGAACTGCTGCACTCAAAGTCATTTTGACAGCTGGCTACAGTCTTCTTTATAATTCAAGATCTGTTAAATTCAAGTGTCATCTGGTAGGGTCTATGGTCAAAAAACATAGACCCAAACCTGCAACATAAAATTAAGATATCAAAGAAATAATGATGACAACATCTGTTTGTTCAAAGTACACAACATTTTGTGAGAAATATCTTAGATAAGAACAGGTGACATATGTACTACATTTAACACATCTTACACGGCATCTTCCATTTTAAGAAGTGAATAAGAAAGTTTTCATAACTTGTACTCTTCTCCAAGTATAATTAGAATGATCAAGTCAAGGAGGATGAAGTGGGCAGGGCATCTAGCATGAATGGGGGAGAAGAGGAATGCATATAGGATATTGATGGGAAAGCCAGAAGGAAAGAGACCACTGGGAAGACCAAGGTGTAGATGGGTGGATAATATTAAAATGGATCCTATATAGGTTGGGATGGTATCGATTGGATTGATCTCACTCAGGATAGGGACCAGTGGAGGGCTCTTGTGAAGACGAAAATGAATCTTTGGGTTCCATAAAATGCTGGGAAATTCTTGAGTGGCTGCAGATTTGGCGGCTCCTCAAGAAAGGCTCAGCTTCATAAGTAAGTAAGTAAGTAAGTAATGCTAGTGGGATGAAACTAAGTCCCTTGTTCTGGCCTATTGTACCAAAGTAAGTAAGTAAGTATTTCGCTTAGTGGGGGGGGTGAAGTCCAGCTGGGTCCACTCAGCACGGCGGCCATTGAGTGCCCTATGGTACCTGCCCTGGGTGATTATGATGATGGAGAATTTGCTGGAATGAAGATTGGCAGGGGAAACCGAAGTACTTGGAGAAAACCCGTCCCAGCGTCACTTCGTTCACCACAAATCCCACTTGACCAGACACGGTATTGAACCTGGGCCACTGCGGTGAAGTAAGTAAGTAAGTAAGTAAGTAAGTAAGTAAGAATAAGAAAGTTTTATGTCAATTTCCATAAAACTAGATGAGGAAGGAATGCCAATAAGGGGAAATTAAGAATCCAAAGCCAAATAAACTAATTACATTCCTTCTGTGTGTAATAAGCATTGTTTTCAGATGGAAATTTACTACATTATATAGAGCCTTTATTGAGAGTTAACAGTTATTCAGTTGGCCAAGAACTTTGCTGTAACAGAACCCCAAAGCTTCATCGTTACAATCACAAAATCCCACCACTGGTCTCTGTCCTGGATTACTTTAATCTATGATAGACAATGATTTTCATACAACTAAATATGAACAACAAACAACCTGGATCTACTTATAATTTAAAATTCATGTATCATTTCCTTTATTTGTTTTTACACTTATCATTGATAACTGCTCCAGAATTCCTAAAGCTGCACAGAAGCAACTGCTGCCAGCAACCATTTTGACTACAATCTTTCATAATTACTATGTCTGTCACCATTAGTATGACTTCCAAACAGTAACAAAATGTTTTAAAACATATAACTTTTATAGGGTCTCACGATTAGTGTCCATATATTTACACCTACTACAGGTACTCCACAATTTATGTGACAGTTATGTTCCAAAAGGACCGCCTCTGTGGCCTAGTGGTCAGAGTTTCTGGCTACAGATCCAGAGGTCCCGGGTTCAATTCCCAGCACTACCAGATTTTCTGAGAAGTACTGGGTCTAGAATAGGATCCACTCAGCCCTGTGAGGATAATTATGGAGCTACTGGAAGAGAAAAAGTAGCGGCTGCAGTCTAGAAAATCAAAATTAACGGCCGTGAGAATTTGTTGTGCTGACCATGCAACACCCTCTATCCACTAAAGTTCACACTCACTTCGCCGACAAGCGGTGGTCAGTGGTCACTCAGTCAGTATAGTTTGATTGTGGACTAAAGCCAAGGGGTTTGTTTTGTGTTCCAAAAGAGAAGCTGCGGTAGATGAAATCATATAAACTGAACAAATACTCAAAGTGGCAGTAGAGAGGCAAAGAAGAGATTGTATGGTTATGCAAAAATTTTCCCTTCTCCCTTCACATTCCTCATTCACCACCCATACAGTACTCTACTCGCAGTTCTCCCCGTCCCTCTTGCTTGGCCAGCAAGCAATTAAAATCAAAGCAAGTGTTACATATTGAAATCAATAGCTGTGGGCATTAAAATCACATCACATGTTGTGAAATCACAAATAACGAGTACCTGTACTGTTGAATGTTGTGGACATGAGTGTAATACAAACTAAATATTTCTCAGCCCTTCCCAGTGCAGTGTCCACATCCTCTCATGCAACCCTTATGGGTTTTAACAACAATATATTAATGTAGTGCATTAAACCTGATATACTCGTATTTACACACACAATAATCCTACAAACATTCTCTGCTAAATTTGTCAGACCAAATACATGAATAATATGAATGCTCCTGAGATATTACACAGTTACAGAAATGGTAAGTCACATGGTAATTCATAATGATGTTTAATCATTTTCCACCAAATTTACTTTTGACAAAATGAATACATACTGTTAGCGAACATGTATTGTATATCACTTACACAGCATTATCACAGTCGCATATGAAATCAATGAGTAATATATATACAATGAATCACTACATGATAAATGAAATAATGTTGGTGTTACCAAGTCTACAAAAACTTACTTCTTAACATTAACCATAACAGTATGGAACTTTCAAGCTGCAAGTGAAATTTGTGTATTATACTGATTACTGTACTGTCTTTACACACCTAACATAAAATATACATGCTGAATAATAACATCAAAACTTCAATGCAAAACTACTCTATCAAAGTTGTTTGGTTTGTGATGTTATAAGCTTTCGTGTATAAAGAATCACACTAGTTACCTTTTCATCTAAGAAGCTGCATAGTCCGAAATGCACATAAACCATCGAAAGCTATCTCAAGTGTTCTGGTAAAGAATTATAATTCCTTTCCAATTCTGTTGCAGCTACACACATGATTACATTTTTAAATACACAGGAAAAGACACTACGAACGCACACCACGATACAAGTCTACGACGTCTATGACCATCTATGACACTGCACTTACTGTACATACGCCTACATACTTCTGTAGATACGCATCATACTTTAAACTTGATATGAACACGACAAACAACAGTAAAAAATCTAGATAAGAGCACGATGCATAGGGAAAGGTACAGACCGCGGATCAATGCACAGACTCATCGAAACTTCGGTGCAAACAGTGCAGTCAATTACACATGGTACTAAATTTATTTTATCTTACAACCCTATGGGCCTTCACGGCCTGTTACAGGGATACCTTTGCGTTCTTTGTTTAATACAACTAGTTCTGGGCATATAATCTCATACACACTTCACATCTGTTGAATGGAAAAGTCTCGATCAGTGATCTCAAAGTTGGGTATTATTGTTTTCTTTGTTTTGAATGCGCCAGTACCAAACAGCTGATACAGTAGCGTTGAGCGTTGAAGTACGCTACAGGCTGCATCAGATACATGTGAATGTTGTTCGTGTGTCCACGAAGTTTGTGTTTGGCTGCGTGGAATACATTGTGTGGAGTACAGATTCCGTTATAGAAATGAGTTTATGTTGTTCTATGTATGTATATCGTAATGGTTCATATAAAGAACCCAGAAACAACCACCGAAATTTTCACGCATGTAATTTCTTTTGCTTTTTTTATTACAGATCAGTACTGCTGAAATTTGTCCTTCATACTACAGTAGCAGGATTATTAATTTTAATTGTTGGACTTCCATTGCTTATTATTGTCGCAAGAAACGTAAGTATGTGAATTAATGTTGTTATTAGGCAAAAAAGAGATGGATAGATGCCAGTATATTTGAAGTAAGTCAAAGAACAGAAATCCTAGAACACAGTGCTGTAAGGTCTGCTGACATATATTTGAAGTCTGTAATGTTTCCTATAGTTTTGGATCTAATTCATTACGATTTTCCTCCCCATCTTGCTGTTAACTAGCTACCCTGTATCTCACTCTTAATCTCATGGCATATGGCTTCAGTTGTGTACCCAAAACACCTGTGTAAAATTAATATAGAGATTTCAAAATGTATCAGTCCTGTATAGGCGTACTGTACACTTGTGTAAGATCTGAGGTTCTCAGAGCAGTAACTGTGAAGAGTGCCATCGTCTGGGATGCCATGTAGTGTGACAGCTTTTTACTAAAGGCTCGGAGGAATGTTCTGCCTCCATCTTCAGAGGCAGGACATTCTTCCAGAATGCTGGTAAACTTCTACAAGACGTAAGAGTGTCAGATCTCAGAACATACATCTGTTATCCAAAAGGTAAAGTATTTTGACTTGTAATCACAGCTTTGAAAATTATGTGGTCAAAATTTTATGCCTACACTTAAAGTATCAATGTCAGATTTAGAGATTTCACAACAAATGTCTGCAATTGCTCACAGCTGATCTGAACAGGTATACTATATCTAATATAAAAATTATTTTGATCTAACAATCCAGTGACATATCACAGACTGAAAGCTGTGTGAGCTATCCAAATGGACATAGAGATGTTTGTTTTATGGTTACTGAAATAGTCAATATTACTTATACTGGAATTGGTAATGCTTCTGACTCCTATCCTTGGGGCACCCAGACTGAATCTTGGCCAAGATATTATTGTGACTGATAGTCTTTATGGTTGCCTCAGTCCCTGTGACCAAATTCCAGGATAATATCTTAAATTAGGTCTCAACTGCTTCCTTCCATGTCCTCTCCTATCCAGCCATTCTATGTTATACAGCAGTGCTGTCCAACGTTCTTATGTACCCGGGCACAATTCACTGATGCCTATGGAGGTGCGGGCGCCACCACACACTACTACTACTACTACTACTACTACTACTACTACTACTACTACTACTATTCTACTACTACTACTACTACTAATAATAATAATAATAATAATAATAACATTTTTCGAAAATATTTAACAGTACTCAGACGTTCAAAAATGTCTCTTGCCTTACAATTTGAATTAGTATTAAAAATCGGCTCAATTATATGTGGTTACGGAGGGCGCCAGAAAAATATACCACGGGCGCCGCGTTGGACAAGGCTGTTATAATCTGTATAATCTTGAGTTACTGTTATTGCTGTTAAACAACAAATGAATGTGTTCTGTTTGTAAGTGACTCATATTGCATGAAGCTAAAATATGGGTAGGAGAATTATTGCAATTGATGGGGCATGCCTACAGTGTTTTCTCCTTGGATTTCTGAATAACACCATGCTGGTTATTGTCCTTGTTGTAGGTACTGTGGACATTGTATTTCAGTAAAGCTATCCCTGTAACAGGCTGTGGAGGACCATAAGGGTGTGAGACATCGACAACCAGCTCACAAATGGTGGTGAAGTTTTCAGCCTTATGTGCTGGCTGCCCTTTATCCCCAGAAAGATTCCTGGTACACATTTCTGTTAGAGATTGAGTTGACCCTAGGGCCAGAGTGTGGCTGGGAGGATTAAGTCAATTGAAAAATCCAATGATCTCATCGAGAATTGAACTCATGACCTTCCAGCTTGCACCATAGTGCCTTGGCCAACTATGCAACCATGTGCCCCTTTCCTAATCTTTCTGCACTGCTGTATCTTCATGTACTCATTACTTGCTTATAGCCTCAACCCATGACTCTCTGTAATGTTCCCATGCCAGTGGCTCCTGTCCTTGACACCTCTCCTCTGGTTTTGGGTAAATTGCTGCTGGCTTTGCCAGCATAGTCATTCTTGGTTCCAGGAGCTATGGGACCTATGACTGTATTTTTCTGTGTCACACCTCTGACTGATCTTGCTGGGCCACTTTATATAGCTCTGTCATGGGCCAGTTTTCCTTGATTACTGTGTGCATTTTCATTACAATGGAAATGTGTTTTAACAAGCCACTGCATAGCAGCGGATGCTTCTGTGACACTTCTCTGACTCGCAGTTCTAACCCATATGGATCATATCACATTATTAATATAGGCATTATTCGTTTTTCCTGTAGCAGTATGCTTAATTTTGAATTTTATTACTTCTAATGAGCCTGGACATCAAAAGGAGAACACCTCTCATGTAGCTACATATTTTGGAATTGGTTTTGTGGATGAACTTTATACTTCATAGCTTGAGACAAGCTGTGTAGCTTTGGTGTCTCCCTCTAAAGTAATGTACTCATTTTTGGATTACATTGTGTATTGTAATGATTTAAATATTTATTGTTTACAGTATTGCAGGAAACAAAGAGAATCCTTACCTAAGGATGGAGGATTTTGTGTTGGGTTCTTTCATCCATACTGTAATGCAGGTGGAGGAGGGGAGAGAGTCCTGTGGTGTGCAGTCAAGGCAATGCAAGCTCGGTAAATGTATTTTTGTATTTGTATGTTGATGGGTAGGGGGAAGAACAACTTGCAGTTTTTTACCGCTGAGGCATATGTCAGTAAGGTATTTAGGTGTAGTCAACTTTTAGAAGAAAAGGAAAATGCCTCTCTTCCTCTTTCATAATAATAACCTATAAGAAAAGTCTTTAAGCATGGCCATAAGTGCTGTCATGATACAGTTAAACATGTACATAGTTTTTACCACTTTGTCATATGAGTCTGTATGATGTAATCACATACCAACTTTCCTTAGTCTGACCACATATAATTTTCCTGCTGAGAAGGTTGATCTATGGATATTTACACTGAGGCAAAGAAACAGAATCAAACTTTTACTGACCTACTGTACACCTACATCAAGTTTTCATGTTTCCTCCTTCAACATACTTCCCTGTATTCCACTATAGTTATCTACCCTTTCTCTTCACAGAAATGTTGGTAATGATAACCTTTGCTAGTTAGTTGATACATGTCAGAGAGGGCTGGAGGGGAATGCAGCAGAAGGTGGAAAACAAAGTCCGTAGTCTTTAGTCCGCAAGTGAACTATACCGACTGAGCGACCACCACTTGTCAGCGAAGTTATGCCAACTTTAGTGGATAGAGGGTGTCACATGGTCAAAGCAGCGAATCCCCACAGCTGTTAATTTTGGTTTTCTAGACTGGAGCCACAATTTCCTTCAAATAGCTCCTCAATTATCCTCACAAGGCTGAGTGGACCCTGTTCCTGACCCACTACTTCTCAGAAAATCTGGTAGCGCTGGGAATTGAACTCTGACCACTAGACCGCAGAGGCGGTCATTCAATTACACATGTTAATTTAATTCTGTATTCCTTAAAATTACATTGGGGTATTATTTCTTATTAAGTTGCAATGGGTAAATTTTAAATATCAAATATAGAAAGCTTTACATGATAAGTAGATTCACAATATGTGTTCTTCACCAAATATTGATAGAGTGGGTGGGACATGCAGCAAGCATGGAGGAAATAACTCGTAGACATAAAATACTGGTCTGCAAAAGTTATTGGAAAAGACTTCTTGGGAGATCCAAGTGAAGAGCAATTCCATTACTACTCAAAGTTTCCTCTGGTTGAAATATTTTGCAAATTGAGTAAACTGAGGAGCCACATTCTGTTACATATTTAACCTGAGTATTACCTTTGTTCCATGAAAATATTTCCTTTATTTATGAACATTAATGTCCTCTAGGATGTGATGCCATGTAGAATGGTAAATTATATACTGGACTACATGACTCCACATCCCAAAAGCATGTAATATTCATAGTCTTGTATTGTAACTTTATTCTCATATTGTAATCAGCCAATGTACAGTAACTGACTTGTCCTATATCATGTAACAATGATCTATAGAGACAAAATAAATACATACATACATACGTACATGCAAACCTCAAGTCTCATAATTTGTCTCTATAGTACTAAACTGAAATAAAATAAACACAGTAATTAACAACCAAGCTCTATAAAGAAGTGTGAATTAGTCAAAATCAATCTTAGAGATACAGGTTACGAGAATATAAGCTGGTTTAGCAAGGATCCATTGGTGGACTTTGGTAGTGACATTGAAGATTCTTCAGATGACATAACAAAGAATGTTTTGGTCAGGTGAATAACTGTCAGCTGCTCAAGGAAAACCTTGTACTTTGGAGTTAATTAAAACCTAAAATTGCACTATGTGAACTTTCTGCATCTATATTATTTTTTTTCACACAGTGCTCATTATATTGCCAGTGTTACATAATTTGTCTTTTTTTATTGTATTTCAGATATGCCCATGTGAAGATTGTGGTTTATACGGGGGATTCAGATGCTACTCCCAAAGACATCTTGAAACTTGCTGAACAGAGATTCAATATCAAATTAATAGCTCCTGTTCAGTTTGTATATTTACGACGACGGAGATGGGTTGAAGCTGACATGTATCCATATTTCACGCTGCTAGGGCAGAGTTTGGGCTCCATTGTGCTTGGAGCAGAGGCACTTGCAGCTTTTGTCCCTGGTTAGAATTCAATTCATAATAGTCAAGTTTAGGTAAAAAATCCAGGTGCACATTTGCTCACTGAGGACCACTACAATAGAGAGCTTTAAGTGTTTTTTTCTTTTAATCATTTTGAAAGATGAAGTTCTTCAAAATAATATTTAAAAGTTCAGTACCTGCCTCACAGAAAACACGCTGCATAACCATTAAAATGATCAGTGTTCTAGTGCTGTTTAGGATCATAATTACTGTACATTCTTAAAATCATGCAAAACCTAGTATAAATAGTGTAACATCATGTTTTGGAGCAGTTATTTCTAGTTTGTTTTTAGCCACTTAAGATCTTTATGTCAGCCGGCCTGGTCCTCCACTATTTCACTGTACATTACTATAGTTTCGTGTTCTTGCACTTACAGACTTGCATCTCATTGTATTGGTTCATCATGAGCTCTGTACACTGCTTTAGCTCACAACGACCGCCTCTCCTTGCCACACACACAAGGTTTTATATCAGCCATATTTCCAGAAATGTGCAGTGCAAACATGGGAGACAAGGCATACTGAGTTTCAGGAAATTGTGAAGAGAGGGAGGGAGGCTGGGAGACCAGGGCTTCCCCTGCACTCAGTCCATGCAACAGTAAATTCTGTGCACTGAGTTCAGAATTTGTTCACAATGAAGCAGATGGTATATACAGTGGACATTGTGCTTTAAACACTTAAAACCTATGTATACTGAGAAGTCATGAGGAATGAATATGAATTCCTCTCCATATGACACTAGAGGTATTTACAGGAAATTGAATGCAGTTATCTAAGTCACATTCACATATTATTAGGAAAACTATAAGAGAAGCCTTACGTGCACACATTATTCTCACCAGTTATACTGACTATAAATATTTGAGGTTTATTGACATGACACACAGTTTTTCATTAAATTTAACTATTTTAAATTGGATTTAAATGCCCTCTAGAACCTGCTTCTTGAGTAGCAAATTGAATTTTGTCTGTAATTTTAGGAAAAATGTTGAAGTCAGTCATTTATTCAAGTGTTAACTTTTTGAACATTATCCATCACTATTTTTATTTGAAACAATGCTTCAGAGAAGTCCCTATTTCCAAAGGTATAAGGCCTACTCCTTTGGTCCCATTAGATACAGGCCAGCTGATACTTTTTGGCCGGTTTCCTTCCCTGTCAGCGCATGAGAGCAAGTCTATGCTACGAACTTACTTTGTCTGCAGAAAGAACATTCGTAGGCTGGCTGCTTGTGAGGTTGGAAGTTGCTCTCCGACTGTAGGATGAATTTAACTGGAACTTTAGTCCTATCAGTCACAATTCAGGCTTTTTAACATCCTATTATGATGAACTAATTTACTCACAGTATGCTGCACTACACTAGCAACTTTAAATTAAAATACACATAAACCTAACACAATACTAATTATTCGTCTAACAGTTCCACTCCAGACAAGTCACTGTTTTCACTGAGTTCAGTTGTATCAATATCACTGGAGTCACTGTCACTGCTGTCTTCAGAACATTGGATGATAATTCTTTCTATAGCATTCTCTCTAATTCCCTCTTTTTCAATATATTCCTTTTCATTCTTTTCGGTGCGGTCGCAAACTTTTTCCCAATTCTCTATTCCAAATTCACTGAACCATTTCTCACACTTCTTTGCCACGTCATCCTAATGAACAGACATTTTCTGCCCCTACTGACTGTTTAACATCCGCCCAAACGAGTTCAGTCAGATTCAAGTCTGGATGATAAGGTGGAAGTCAAATACCATGTGTCCATATGCAGAAATTATGTTGTCCATTACAAAGTTTTTGTGGAGGGGTTTATGTCCTTTTATCAGGTCATAGAGCTGAATTTTGAACATTCCATCATGAAATGGCACATTGTTCACTGTAAGCCACTCCATCATCTTGGCCTTCATGGTCTGGCTGATTGGCACCTTATTAAACTGCACATTGTGATATGGGGCATTATCTACAACAAGAACTGATTTTGGAGCCAACTTTGGAATAAGTTTTTCTATTAGCCACTTCTGATAAATTGTCACATTTATTTCGCTATGATAGTCCCTGGTCTTGAGATGAGATTTAAATACAAGGTGGTTCAAATATGACCGGGACTGATTTTTTGTAAACAAGCCGCACTGGGCAGCAGCTGTGCGACCTTGAGAGAGTGAAGCCACAACCTCCACCCTCCCTCCTGTTAGGATTAGAACCTGTTCAGTCCTGTCTGGAAGTTGCTAGAGTGATGAGAGAACAGAAGGTACTGCGGAGTGTGGAACAACGCATTGTGATCAAATTCCTCGTTAGAGAAAACGTCCCGTCCGCTGAAATTCACCACAGACTCCAACAACAGTATGGGGAAAAGTGTCTCTCATGGACCCACGTGTTTGAGTGGTGTAAGTGCTTCAGAGAGGGCAGAGAGTGCGTGGAGAATGAACCGCATGATCGTCGGCCGCGAACATCCGTCACCGAGCCGAACATTGATTGTGCAGACGTGCTTATTCGTGAGAATAGGTGCATCACTATCAAGGAACTTGGAGTAAGATCCGATCCAAGCAGAAGACAGGTGGAAAGCGGATGCACGCCCCCATACGGCCAAAACAACAATGGAAACCCTTCGGAAATTGAAATGGAACCTTCTGACACATCCGCCGTACAGTCCCGATTTGGCCCCAAGTGATTTCTACCTGTTCGGAAGGCTCAAATCAGACTTGCAAGGCATGTGGTTTGTGGACAACGATGCTGTCATCCAGACTGTTCGAGAGTGGATACGCCGCCAACCACAAGTCTTTTTTGGGGGGGCATCAGTATGCTTCCAGAAAGTTGGAAAAAATGTGTTGACTCCGGAGGGGAGTACGTTGAAGACTGACATATGCAAGTAAATGTTTGGCAATTATGTTTTTTTGTTTGTTTTTTTTAAATCAGTCCTGGTCATATTTGAACCACCTAGTATCAACAATGACCTGGGAATGAAGCCGGTTCTGCCTCCTGCATGCACAATAATCAGCCTCTGGCCTTTTGATACGGGTGCCATGTACCCTGATGGAGTGTCATCCGTCCAGTTTTTAGGTCTGGTGTGACTGCTGTGAATGAAGGTCTCGTCTCCATAAATTATAGTCTGACCTTCCTCCCTGTACTTCTTTATTGCACGCAAATATGCTGCTATCTTCGACCTAATGTCATCCCTCTCGATCAGGGCACCCCTGTTATTTCGCATTTTCTTCCATTTAAAACTCATCTTCCATAAAACCAATTTCAGGCTGGTACTACCTCCCTTGAAATTTATGGTTACCCTGAGTTTTGGAAGTAGTTTCCTCACAGTAGGCACAGTTTCTTCTTGGGTGTAGAAATAATACAATTTCCGATGAATCACAGATATATCGAAATCATCTGGATTTGTTATCCGTTTAGGTACAGAATGGTGTTTACCGGGAGTTCCGAACATAGCACCTTTTTCACATCGAGAACCTTTGTTCAGAATTCTCCATAAACTTCTTTTTGAAATTCCAGTTAACCTTACTACTCTCTCTTGTACCTTTCTTAATGGTATCAGTACATATCCTGCAGCTGCTTCAATTTTCATAAATGAATGGACGTTATTTACAACCTCACAGGTCTGGCTGTGCAATGTTTTGTTACCAAGTTTTGACTGAATCGGTGGCATTTGTTTTCTTTTTAAATGTGTTACTGCCCTAAAAGAAATATATCAATTAAAAACAAGCAACTGGCATGTGGGAAAAGCACACAGTATCTGCTAATAACAGTGATCCTATGAGCTCAGCATCTACCTTCTTACTAAGGTAACATAGTGTCACTGTGCATGCTCACCAATCTTAGACTCACCGACTTGCGTCAGACCACAACGCATCAGAGATCCACCAGCCAAAATTGGCCGTACCACCTATACAGCCAGTCCCTGTCTCTGGGACAGGGACTAGCTCTACTGATTGGGCCCAACTGAGTAGGCCTTTTTCCTGAGGGCAGAATTGAGTTTAGTTTCCAAAATGTTGTTTTCAATAAAAATAGGACAATGGATTATGTTAAGAAGTCAGTCATTATATTGACATACCACCACTGTGAACTTTTAGATCAGTCATTTATTGTTTAGTGAGTGTGCTGTGACATCTTTAGAATCAGACGTAGCAATTAATACCATATATCTTTCATGGATTTAAAACAGATATTAATTTCATTAGAATTACAGGAAACTAACAAATGTAAACATCATTTATACTGCTATTCCAAAGTTTCCTTTGAGTCTAATCTAAACTTAAGAAATTTTCCATATCCCACCCATGCATTTGTGTGGTTTGAGTGTCTCCCACTTTCTGTCTTCTGAAATAGAAAGTTAGCATGCATGAATGCATATGTATTCATTTCACTTTGTTCAATATCCTATCAAGGCTTAATTTTTAATCTTGCATATCTGGCATAATTATTATGTATAGCTTCTATATTATCTGACAGTTAACATTTTTATTCCAACTGGCTGTGTTCTTCTATGTTATTTAATATTCTTTTATATCACAGTTCTTATAATGCCATAACATAATATTGATGGTGCAACTGCCAACATCAATTATATCAGTCCTCTGTATCTACTGTTTTCGAATCCTTCATGGAATTCCTCTGGTGACAGAGACAAGAAAGTGTGTCAGGATGGCCCGTACATTGACATTTAAATTTAAAAGGTAAATTCACTTCAGATTCCAGCAAAAATAGCATGAGTTCTTTTTGCACTTATAGGGTCTTTTGAAACTGGTGCTGGAAGAGTTAACAAATTCTGTACCTATTCTTAGCCCACATGTTAAGAAACAGTTTTATATTTATTCTGTTTGCACTAAAATGCCCTGTACAATTAACTACACATACACATATGCATATTGTAAAGTACTTATCATAATGGACACAAAATAAAGATTTTGTATCTTTGTTGTAGATCTTTACATCGATACAATGGGGTATGCATTCACATTACCTATTTTCAAGTTGATTGGAGGCTGTAATGTGGCATGTTATGTCCATTACCCAACCATTACTGGTGACATGTTGCGACGGGTGTCAGGACGTGTGATTGCTCATAACAACCATCCGTATGTTGCTCGCAGTCCATTTCTTACAGCAGGAAAACTCCTCTATTACAGACTTTTTGCATGGGTAATATATTATAATGCGTTGTCATTAAGTTATAACAATGTTATATAGTAAATCATTGATCACATTTACAGCATTTTAATTGTTATGCCTGTAGCCCATATTCTTGCTGCAATCAAAGTAAAATACAGCAATCCCTCACTAATAGCAGTTTGATTAACTGTGGATTTCAAGTATAGCCCATCTACTTTTGGAATGAGTTATCAGTTGCTAACATAGACCATTATCATTAGAATGCTGCTAGATTCTATTTTCACCATTCCTTCATGATTCATGTGTTGGTGGGAAATTCAGACATACTTATCCAAGACTATCCTCCCATAAAGTTGCTTACATGATATATCTGATTCACACAGCAGATGAATTTTATCTGAAGTTTTCCTTTTGAATCGAGTTTTTACTGTCACGGTATTTGGTTATACATATTCATAGTTTTTAATTTGTATTCATAAGGATGAAATGAGGGTCTGCACCAAAAGATCCACTTAGCAATGGGCAAGGCTATAATGGCATCTAAAACCAGTTTTTAGCTTTGAAGTTACCATGACAGTGTGCAATGCGTCCTTTTGTGACAGTTCTAGGAGCTCTCAGTTTCCCACATGACCTTGTAACTATCCCCTGTGGCTGGCAAAGGGTAATTACCAGATAAGTTTGTCATGTTCCCCACTATAAAAAGCACATTGTAGGATCGGTATAAGTATATAACAATGCTGCCCAATTTCTGCACTCCATGGACCACCTGAGGAATCCTTCCTGGTCCTCCTGACCATTTCATTTGTTACTTTTTCCTCCTTATGCTAGCTTCTTTAATATTTCATGTCGTCATATTCTTATCACCATGGCCCGGATTTTGATGACGTGAAAATATTTAAAATATGACCCAAAAATGTAATATGCAGGGCCCGGATTTTGATGACCTGAAAATATTAAAAAAATAGCCGAAAAAAATCCATAAAAATGACCTAAAGGAGAAAAGAAAGAACACTTCGCTTCCATGTTATTCACATTTCAGAAAACATATGAAGAAAAATTCCCTAAAATGACCAAAAATGACAAGAAATACCCTTAAAAGAAAGAAAATTACCTATAAAATTTACATTTCTGTAACCAGCAGCTCATCCGAGATTTATATATTTAAGAGCATCGCATAGGATACCAGGAAAAAAAGATGACATCATCAAAATCTGGGCCCTGCTTATCGCTATCCACGTTTTTGTCCCTTCAACTGAGTCACCAAAATGCATTACCATTTAGAAACACTACAACTGAAAATACAAAAACTATGACATGCAATTCAAGAGAAACGCCCACAGACCATCCACAAAATGTTCAAATACCACAGGTGCTTAGCTGCAGACTTATATAATGTGCATAAAATGTGAAGATGTTCATGAATGGTTAGGTAAAGATCTGGAAGGAGATATTTATGGTTTAAGTCAATATTGATTCTAATTCATCTGGGAAGAGTGAGGAAAGGCATCAGAAGTATCATTCAAAGTAATGGTAAACATGTTGAGATTCAAACCAGAAAATTTTCTGCTATAAATCCAGATCCTGGTACTAAATATGTTAGAATATTAGCCTTTAAGAACTTCTAATCTTGTGTTCTAGAATGTATTCTTCAACCATGGTCAAGAATGCCTATGACAAAAGTAAATATTAATAAAATATGTTTGTTGATTCATGTAATATAAACAGAATGAGCAGCCTCATAGTTTGAGATCACAAGCGTTTGCTGAAGATTAGTCACCTGAGATGTGATGCCATGTACTTTGTAGGTGGGTACCAATGTTTTCAAGGTCTGAGTGCTTAAAATTCAGGGTAGACCCTGAAGATGATGACAGCAGGTACTTTGACACACTGATAGTGAATTACCATACTACATATCTTCACATCCAGAAGATGCCCACTGCCTTGAGTACCTCAAATCTCACTTATATGCTACTGCTAAGATGGAAGCTGAGGTACCACGAAGTTGCCAGCATTCTTAGAGATTCCTCTGTGTGCAAGAGTTGACCATGTTATTCCTCTCCTTAGCTGTATGGATGGGTTGGTCGGTGCTCAGACATTGTGATGGTGAATTCTAGTTGGACAGAGGAACATATCAGTGACCTGTGGCAGTGCTCCTTGAAAACCCATCGTGTCTATCCCCCATGTGATGTGGAGGAATTAAAACAGATACCACTATTGTCAGAAGGCAGCAATTCACAAAATGGTAAGGGAGTCATATACCATGTTCTTCAGGCACTGGAAGAAGTAATGTTTAAGCATCATATTTGAAATATCACAGCCTTACATCTTCCTTGTTTGTGCCATTAAACTGACTAGGTCAAAAAAGAAATGGCAGCTTAACTTACTCAGTTTTGGCTGCCATCTCCTTGGGAACATATGCAGTGATCCCATTGTTTATTCCATGGTTCAAAAGCACTGTAGAAGTAATTTTCCTTAATGCTGTCGAGTACCGTTTGTGATTCCCTTTGGATGTCAGACACTGTTTCAAAACATTGTGCAGGTGGATTTCCAAAAGTGTGGCATTAGTAACATAGTATTGTCATGATTTAGGGGCATGACTACAGACAGGGTATGGATTGGATATTGAATTTATTGACCACTTACATGCACCACTTGAAACTACACTTTACAGATCACTGACACACACAGACTAGTGTCTTCAGTCTACTACAGTCTCCACTAGCCCGTTTCCTGGCAGCGGCTTTTACTGAGGGAGATCCTTCAGCTTCCCACATACAGGTCCTCTTGTTATAGCTTCCCATGCAGAACTCTTGTCAACGGTAAGCTCAACTAACTGGGTCCCAGGCTGGCAGCCATTTCACGCCAACCTCCTAGTCTTCTTTTCGCAGGCTGACTTCCAACTGACAACTGAACCCTCTCACTCACCAACCACCTACTTCATGTCACTTCACTCAACTGAACTGCTGACAACGCACAGCAGCTCAGCTGGCATCCCTGTTACATAATCTTGGGCTGGACCCAACAGAAAACACAACGTTCAACAATCCTCCTATTGTTGTCATGGCATTTGCGTGGCAGTAGACTGGATATCATTTATGCGAGAACATGTTTACCAACCATTACCAAGCAATGCATGTTCCTTCTCACGATCATTGCATAGCAGTGGTACTACACATTACAGTATGTAACATGTAAGTAATCTGTGTAGTAGATACACAGCATGGTTGTTGCATGTGTTCACAATGCCCTGAGCTGTGGACCAAGAGAGGGAGAGAGAATATGAGTACCAAGCAGACATATTTTCATTCATAACAATTACTTGATATGTAATTGTAACAGGGATCATTCATACTGATAGTCAGTAATGCTGTCTGTGGTGTTTCATTGAATCCATAGGTGCAGAACATGAAGAGATGCTGAAAAGGCCAAATGATTTCAACAAGAAAACAAATCTTATCAAAATTGTATCAGTTGGCCAGTTCAGGCCTGAGAAGGATCATCCGCTGCAGCTGAGGGCAATGCATGAGTTACGACAGCTTGTTTCAGAAGATGTGTGGGACAATGTGAGTAAAGTATTAAAAAGAATAAGTAGCTGTGGATATTGTTAAGTTCAGAATCTTAGGTATCTTAATAAAGAAAATTTGTCTTGTTAACTACTATGTGTAATATATATGTACATTCATCTAGGAGCTGGGGTAGCTCAGCCATTAGGCTGTGGGCTGGACAACTTAGGAGTCAGGTTTGATTCCCAGCAGGCATAAGGTATTTTTCTCTTCTCTACAGCATTCAGACCAGCTGTGGAACTCACCCAGCCTCCTGTCCATGGCCACTGGGGGCTCTTTCCCTGCGGTAAACTGACTAGGGCACAAAACTGATTACTCCCATTTAGTCCCAAAGTTAAGAATATATAGAGCTATACTTCCACATGCCTTCATGGTGTGGTGCATAATTCCCTTTACTTTTACATTCTATTATTATTCTATTACATTCTACTATTATGAACCACTTTAATGATTTAGCTATTAGTGAATCTGCCATATGCTATGTTCATATTCAGTGTGCTTATCAGTTAATAAAAATATTCTCACTTATTATTGTATGTTGATAGATAATGCTAGTATTTGTGGGGTCTTGCCGGAACAAAGAAGATCAGGATAGGGTCCGAGACATGCAAGACTTGTGTAAGCATCTCTCATTGGAGAATAATGTCCAGTTCAGAGTTAATATCAACTATGATGAACTCAAGAGAGAACTACAAGAAGGAATGATTGGCTTGCATGCCATGTGGAATGAACACTTTGGCATTGGTAAGAAACTTATTTGATAAAAATAGTTAAGTAAAATGAATGATCTAATGCTTAAATTCAGATTGCTATTTTAGTGTTTTAGAATAACCTGTAATATAATATAGACACACTAATACATGCCAGGATAGTGCAGTCAGTATAGTGATTGGCTATAGGCTGAAGGACAAAAGGGGTCAGCATTCAAGTTTCAGTAGGATCAAGAATTTTCTCTTCTCCATGTCATCCAGACTGGTTCCCGTACCAAGGTCAAGAAAAGTGGATCTATACATCCACGCCCCCATACATCTTCATGACACAGTGTTAAGTAGTTAAGCACAAGGACAACTTTGTCTCCCCCCCATAATATGTGTCTTTTTAAATACAGTATTTGAGTTCCTTCCCTAAGCTGAAGCAAAAAGATGTTTTGGCAATATGAAATGCACCTTGCTTGCTATATGCTCTTCAGTTTCTGCACTTTCTTTTATTGTGAGGACAGATGTCATGATATTTACAGTGCAAAACTGAAATGGTGTTGCAGGCGTGGTGGAATGCATGGCTGCAGGACTCATTATGGTAGCACATCGATCTGGTGGCCCACTTATGGATATTATTGTGGAATCAGAAGGAAGTCAGAATGGTTTCCTAGCAACAGACGAGGCTGACTATGCCATGGCTATTGCCACCATATTGAAATTATCTCCACATGCAAGAAAAATAATTCGGGATGCTGCCAGGTAAAGGAAATCTCTGAATTGCAATACTGTTTTACTCAGAATATTATTTATTTGGACTAATTTCAGTTTCTCAATAGGAACAATCTGAGATTTTCCTCTCATATTAAGAGTTTGTTAATTTTTGGAGATGGAAAGAAATTTGCTCTTTGCTTGCTGTCTGGCTCATCTCCTTTTTTAATGGCTATTTAAAATTTGTGTTAATTATATTTCCTGTTAATGTTTCAGGGCATCAGTGGATCGTTTTTCTGTAGAAGAATTTGAAAAGGGGTTCTTAAGAGTCATACATCCTTTTTCCCATAGAATGTGCACTGAAACATAATAGTAACATATTTATGTATTTATTTATATATACAAAGGAATAAAAGACAAACATATAAAATGGGATGTAACAGTAATTAGCATTTCTCAGTGTTAATTACCCTTAAGACACAAAACTAATGGCTGCTGCTGTTGTATGTTGAGGTGCTTAACATTGATAAATGCTGTACTGAGTCTCATTCGTTTTCTGCATGGTAGTTATTACTTGGTTTCAGAAATGAATTGCTAATTCTCATGGTGGTCCCAGAATATATTCATTTGCAATTTTTTTTCTCATATAAACAATGAAATTTCATTTGGAGTGGCTCCTTCCAGCTGATGAAGGCCTACTGACAGTTACTGAGTCTAAGAATGGTCTTTTAATTGTAAATTCGTAAAACACGATAGCCCAAGTAAAAATTTCCTCAAACAGTGACAACAGCAATGTTAGCATACAATGCACCATTCTAAGCTGAAGCTTGAAGCTAAACTTAGATACGAATATTTTATGAGTGTCACTGCACTCTGACTTTGGAACACAGTGGAAATAACTGACTGTAAAAGCAATCAGATGGTGAGAAATAGGTGCACTCACTTGGAATTCCCTACAAAGGAAGGACTCTGGTTTTTATATATTACGTTGCTAGAGGCTGGGTGATGCAATGTGAATATTTCTCTGATCTTCAAATAAAGGCATGGAATAAAAATAATGAAGATGACTAATATTTTTATATTCTTTTATGGTAAGCTGCACCATAACAAGCCATGCATGTTTGTCCCCATATTTTTTAAAGATGTGGATACTATGTAATCGCACCATTGCCAAATAATTCCTTTCTTCCTATGTACTCTGTCATTTAGCCTTGACATTTCTTCAGTTTGAATTACCTGTATGCAGTTGTATGCATAGAATATTATACCTTGTGTAGTTACTTTTTATGTACATAGTGACGATTTCATGGACTACAAAAAAGTTTTGTTTCTCCACCGTGACTGTCTTATGTCACATAGTACTGTTTGTTATTGTATATGTGGATAATTGGATTACAGGCAACAAGTGGAAACTTGTTTACTGAATTTTATTTTTACATGAGAATAAAATTCCTACACTATAGCAACATGGTTTTTATTTTGAACCTTATGAAACAAAGCTGTATTCTTTTTAAGGAAATCAACTTTTGTCTAATTTAAACTCTCCGACAGAAATAAATTTGTACACTGTAGTAACATGATGCTTATTCTGAAACTTATACCATGGGACTATATTGTATTCAAGGAGACATGTTTTTATGTTAACTTCTCAGACTGAAATAAAATTATTGCAATATAATAATTTGGTCATTTATTCCAAGCCTTAATTCTGAAAATTATAACAAAGGACTGTATCCTAATTATGGGAACCTATGTTTTTATAATCCATTCTTTCATTCAAATAAATTCTAGAAGTCACATCTGTATGTGTGGTGTGGAACATAAGGATTCAAAACTGGAACATGTGACATGTGAGACAGAAGTGTTCTTATAAAACTTAAATGAGAGTGATTTCATTTTGTCAGATTTTTAAATCCTCTCCTCTGGAATGAAATCCTAGCAATCACAGTCCCTGAAGTGCCTTTCAGTACATGTTGGTTGGTATTACCATTATATGCTGTTACACAACCTCATGTTTTTCTACCTTCATGGTCTCTGTGACAGTGCAAATTGTGAATGAAATCTGTGACAGCAGTTTCTTTGTGTCCATCTCTCTATGATGTAGACACATGCACACACCATAATTTGTTAGTGTGAACCAGATATGCAGGTTCCAAACAGATTACTGATTCCTTAATTTCTTCATTGACTGGTCAAGTTTACAGTGGTCACATATTGCACTTGAAGTGATCCTGATCTGGATGTTGACTTCCTACATGATACTGGACACATTTACAGGTGGCACACAAGCTGTTTACCCATTGAAATGTTAAACAGAATCAACATTTGTTATACAAATGTTTAAGATAAAGAATTATTGTCCCTGCGCTTAATTAATTACATCATGAAGACATACAACAGACTGGAGGTATAGCTTCACCATTCTTAACCTTGGGACTGGATGCAGGTGAGTAGCCAACTTCATGCCCCGCCCACTATATCCCAGGGAAAGAGTCCCTGGTGCCTGCTGTGTACGTTTGGTCGGCCCCAGAGCTGGTCTGAACACTGGAGAAGAGAAATATCTCTTGCTCCTGTAAGGAATCAAACCCTGATTCCTGACATCCCGCCTGTAGCCTGTCATACTGCATGAGCTATCCTGGCTCTATTACGCAAGTGTAACAGCCCCTCTACATACAGAAATTTTTCTCAGTGCACAGTGTGTTCAATATAATCTCCATTCTGCCTTATCACCCCCTCAAGACAGATGCTTATATGGTTAGTGTCCTTCTAGCAGATGCCTTCTGAAACTGTGTACATCTGTGTTATGGTTCCTTCAATGAACCATGTCTCCTTCATTAATGATTCATACTGTATATCCTGAATAGTTTCTCCTTCATGTAGCCTCAAAGAAAGAAACTGTACAGACTGTTTGGGCTATGGAGTGGCCAGACCTCTCCAGTCACAGTAACCCATGAAAGTGATATTCAGTGACCGAAGTCTTCATGCAGGAAATCAAGGGCCATATTAGCCTAGTGTGACCTGGATCAATCTCACATAAACCAAAGAGTGCTAACTGGCAGTTGAGTATCAAGTAATTGCACAGGAAACAAATAATACTGTGTCATTGAAAATGATTTGCTTCATTATTCCATGCCTTAATACTGTAATGTGTTCTGCATAATTGCTTCTGTCATGAAAATCATGTGATGTCCATTAGCCCAGAATCATAGAATTGGATTCTGTTTGCATTCCACATCACATCTCTAGATACCAGCTTTGTAGCAAACAGGACACAGGGATACAGAAACAAACCACAGTACAATAGATCAACAATACAGAACAAGGTCAGCATATTCTGGTGTGTATTTTAGTTTATTTAATGATGCTGTCAGTAACTCAGGCTATACAGTGTCAAGTGATAATAGGACAGTTACTATGAATTGGAAACAATGTGGAGGGAGGTACCCACGCATTATTCAAGGTGCTATTCCAGCATTTGCCTGGAAGGATTAAGCAAAGCCATGTAAAACCTGTCAGGATAGTTGGGTGTTCCAAATGAGCTTCAGAATGGCACCTTCCAAAAACAAATCAAAAGTAGTACAGTCAACTCTCGATTATCCGGGCTAATGGTGGGGATGGAAGTCACGGTTAATCGAAAACCCGGTTAAGCCAAATTTTATTATACGGGCTGGACGACTGTGAAGGGTCGGAGTTCGAGTCCCGGTAGGGTCAAGAATTTTAACTTCTCCAAATCGTCCAGACCGGCTCTGGGGTCCATCCAACCTCCTATCCAATGGGTACCGGGGGCTCTTTCCCCGGGGGTAAAGCGGCCGGGGCGTGAAGCTGACCACTCACCTCCAACTAGTGCCGAGGTCAAGAAAATTTGGATCTATACATCCACTCCCCCACACGCCTTAATGGCGTAGGGCTTAATTCGTTGAGCAGAGGAACAACTTTACCTTTTACCTTTTAATACCTTCATAATACTATAGACCTACCTGTATTTAAATTTATTCATCCTCATTTCTATGTCATCTCATGGCCTATTTAATACTTTCTTTACATTACACTCAGTATGAATTAGTTATTTCAATCACTGTTCAACAACATCCAGCACTTTTTACGGTCACACTTAACACTTAAAATAATTTAATACTGTCTTTTGCTTTTTCGCGGCATTTTCCTTTTTNTTTGTTCTCCAATACCGTATTGCATTGCTAATTGTTTAACTACAGCTCCTTTTTCCAGCTGATTGATAATTTCAAGTTTCTGTTGAATACTTAACACAACACGCTTCCTTTTAAACCCCGACATTTTGCTAACGCACTTGAAGATCTATATTAAGAAACTGATACTTACTTTCACAATGCACTCTCACACTGAGATGGTACCGTTAAATAACCTGGGGCGGTGTATTTGTCCTTGAAACTTTCCAAAAATTCTTGCATTCTTTCACCCCCACCCTAGAACATTGTGTTCGCATAACGGGACGAAATAATGCAGAGCTCGGTTCACACTAGTGCGAAAATAGTGTTAAACTCACCATGTGAAACAAAAGTGAATGAATATTAAACAACATATAAACTTAAAAAAAAAAGCCCCGGTTAAGCCGCAAACCGGTTAATCCGCCCCCGGATAATCGAGAGTTGACTGTACTTAAGTCACCTTGCTTGGTGTCTTTCTTGTATATCTGAAAACATAAAGAAGTCCATCACGTGAGTTTCATGATTGTATTCCAGACCATCATCTTATGCACACATCACTACTTGCAGTTGCTCAAACTTTCCTTATTTTTTAAATCATACAACTTAACCCCCCCCCCCAAAAAAAATGGCAACAGTACACGATACTGAACAGATGTAAACAAGTTTCAGTAACATGAGGCTTATGCTTATAAATGTCACACCACATCCAGCAAACTTTACAAGGTAGAACAATTATTTCATGCTTGTAGAACTTGTCTGAAGCAAACAGAATCTGTAGTGTTATACATTTTGTGATATAAACAAGTTATTAACATGGTAACCATGAAAGCCAACATTTTATTTCCATTCCTCCTTCAATAATTGCACACTACACTGATTACTACTTTTACTTTCAATAAAGAAATCATTATGTTGCATCATGTTCTTATCACCAACTGTAATACGTGTTTAATACAGTTCATTCAGTCAACATCAGTTTGAATTTCCCACCTGGAAGTTCAGTTTGAATAAAATGATGCTGTTCCATATGAATTTGAACAGTACTGTACACTGTGGTAGGCGGGCACTATGGATAGGTGTAGGTAGGTCACAGCAGCACGTTGGTTGAACAACTTTCTCTTAGGCTTGTTCCCATTTTAGTAAGTTCAGCCAGTAAAGGACAGTGTTATGTGAAGCCAGCATCAGTCACTGATACCTGCTGCTAAGAGAAAGACAAAACATGAAACACATGTTAATTTGGGTGTTGTTTTGTAGCAGTCTTTTGGTGATGTTCGTATATTCAAAACCCACAATCTACAAGAAAAATGAAAATGATAAACTGGAGCCAGGTAGGAAATTTACTCAATTTCAACATTTCAGCTTTCATTATTATGCATATTTTATGTTCCTGTTAAAGTTTTTAAAACTTCCAGGAATCTGTGTATTGTATGTCATACAAATATGCATTTTTCTGCATTAAAATTTACCAAGGCTAATTGAAACTGATGAACGATACACTATCCAGAAGATGTTTCCAATGTGGATGGCAATTTTTCTACTAGTATGAAAAATTAGAAGAAAAAACACATAATTTTTGTGTAACTACATAACAGATAATATAATTTAATATAAAATAAATACAGAACAGTCTACTGAAATCAATGGTAAACTGAATATATTAATACAGGAATCCTATTTGTTATAGGCTACCTGACTGTGCAGAAAGCCACTCCTTGTTATAAGAAATACAAAGTGAATTTCAAATGGAATTATCTAGAAATAATAATAATAAAGCTACCACATAGACCCTAGCAACTATCCCATTCTTATCATGATCCCAATGCCTTTCTTAAAGAGGAAGTAATATGGAAGTAAGCTGACATGGATTTGAATTCCTGTAGCACCAGAATTTATGATCTTCCCTGGGGCTCTCTCTCCAAGAATAACTTTTATCTTTACCAGTATTTCCTCTGATGTATGATTTGGGAAAACAGGGTGGGACCCATTGTTGTCTCACTTACATTCATCTACAAGAACTTGGATTTGTAAACATTTCATTAACTGTCAGAATGTTCTCAGAAATCAGGTTGATGATCACAGTCTCTTTTTTCTCCAAACTGTATGGGTTGTCATTAACTTTTGGTGACAGTCCTTCATTGTTCATGCATCCACCATTGGCATTAACTCCATTTTCAATCCTCCATCATCAGTGCAATTTGACAATGGATCACTGTACCTTATATGAGGTAAAACCCCAACTGAACAACCTGTCACTGACAATTTCATTCAGTTCAGTAAAGAATTAAATGATCACAAGCAGTTTAAAACATATTATCAATTATCATATATGATGCATATCATGGTCCTCTGTTTCTGAGCTTAACATGTCTGGCTTTAATTATGCCAATGAAATAGAGGACAATGACCTTGAAAAAAGTTGCCCAAATGTTACAGTGCTGGTGCCTGTATCCTCCACGGTAATACCTCTACCTGTATATAAAGTCGGATTTGGAGTTGGTGTTAATGGGGCAGAGAAGAAGCCCACAAAACCAGATGAAGCTACAAAACTCATCACAGGTATTTTTCTGTGCCCAATATGTTGCTGTTCCACAAATATTGTACATTTAATAGAATATGCATTGGAAAATTAGGCTTAGTTGGCCAGACCTGGCATAGCATTTCCATTACTTTTCTCAAAGTGTGTGGTACAGCTTTCAAGATTGCTTATTTTCTAACAAACGTAGAATTGTAGCAATTTATTTCATGAATAAACTATTTTACTTCTCTTTCAGCTCATAAGAAGAAAACAGGAAATACATATGATGGTGAAGATGATGACGATGAAGAATCTATTAATATCAAACAGATATCAAAAGATGAATATGAAAAAAGCACATGAATACCACATGAGATAACAACATGTAACATGTCAGTGGCTAATGTATAAAAGAAAACAATACTCTCCAGAATTAACCATGCTCAACAGGAGTCTTTCTTGCAGTCGTGTATTTGATAGTATATTAAAAATAACTGATATTAATTCACAACACCTGTGAAGGCAAATAAATGTTTTCATATACTGGAAGTTTTACAGATTTACATCCTGTGCAGGCCGAAATTAATCTTTATTACATGGAGTTCTTCATTTCCTTTTTGTGCAAAAAAGTGTAATGCAATTTAGCTATACGGTGGTACCTACATATTATTGTAAAAGTAAAGCTATCTCTGTAATCGGCCATGAAGGCCCATACGGTTGTGAGACATTGAGGGTCCCACATTATCTAGACAATCAGCTCAAAGATGGCGGTAAGGTTGTCAGCCTTATGCGCCGGCCACACTTTACTCCACAGGAAAATTATTTAATTAATTTCTGTTACTCATTTCTGTTAAAGGCTGAGTAGACCCCATGATTTGTCACAACAAGCTAAGTGAATGAATTACTTCTCATGGATAATTATACATGGAGACAGAAGAAACAAACCCCAAGCATCCAATTTTGATATGGGTGACAGGCTTTGTTACAATTTTATGGTCAATTCTAATTGGAAAGGAAGGCCATGTTAATGCAAAGATTGTATCATGAATCTAAAGAAACAAAGATAGAAAATGGTGTTTGGTTTTATTTGTGACAAGTTATTCAAGAAATACAGAGAGATGTTTGTGACAATATCGAGTTCAGAATCCTGACCATATCACACNATGCGCGCGCAACAGATCGGTTCCGGTTATTTTTGGGTCCCCCTTCGTATATATTACTCTTGAAAACCTCAGACCCCTTAGACTGCATTAGCCTAAAGGAAAATAAACATAATACAAAATACATGCTGCATTTCTTCAAACAAAGCTATCCCTCAACTGCATTATTAAGTTCCTAAAGGACATTACAACTTGCAAAACTGCCATTTGGGAAACTGGGGGTAAGTGGAACAGCATCCAATGTTGGTAGTCATATTCACTCAACATAAAAATTATCAAATAAAATTAGACATAAAATATATGCATAACAAGTGTCACAATGGTAATTTGGAAGCTATAAAATTGCTTTTAGATGCCAGTCCTGCTCCTGGCAAATCTGAATCTTTTGGTGTGAAAATTACCAATTCTTTTCTCTCTATATTAACTAAAAACCACATAAAATGAGATATCATGGCTGGCAAAACTACAGCTGACAAGGCACTGTTGTAGATTATGTGAATCTGTAGTAACTATGTACACCTCTCCCACCTTTCTGACTTCCTATGCATCTACAACGTGGCTTAAACTCGGATACTGTACTTGATTTTGATAAATGGCACTGAACTTGTTCGTGCTTTTAACATACAACATAAGAATTTAACTGTGAATTGCAGGTAGTAGTCTAATGCCTCAGGAACCCTCACTGTAAAATTCATCAGAAACTATCATTCTTATGGACAATTTAAATGATCCTTAGAAATTGTGTTGTAGAACATAGGTCTCTATAGAAAAACGAAGTCAATACACACCATTATGCAGATATTTAAATTATTCTCTGTGGAATGTCAATTACAGTCTTACAGAGACAGGGTGAGATAGTGTAGACTGGATTGATCTGGCCCAGGATTAGGGACCAGTGGAGGGCTCTTGTGAACTTGGTAATGAACCTTCAGGTTCCATAAAATGCTGGGAAATTCTTGAGAAGCTGCACAACTGGTGGCCTCTCAGGAAGGGCTCAGCTCTATAAAGTTACTAATACAAATTACACTGACAAATACTAAAAAGAACATATGCTCACCCTACCCACTCTGACTCTGAAGGTGGATGGAGTATGTACCTCTGAAACACCAGCAACACTACCCACATTACTGTGTACAAAGATCCACGATCAGACTCATCAGTAAAAGGAATGTTCACAAATAATAGAGATTCTAAACATATGAAACATAAAGAGAAGGATATATGGATTTATGGATTCTGAAAATGAAGATTTTACAAAGTGGACTCAAAAATGTGTCCAAAATACCTATATATCATTGGTATGAACAGTTCAGTATATTTGGAACACTGAATATTTACATCACACAAACAAGAAATTAAGAGTTCAACAAAATGAGTGCCTAATGCAAAAAAAAAAGTCATGTAAAGATTTTTGTCATTGTAAACATAATTGCAGTGCACAACGTTAAGATCCTCACTGAAGAACAACTTTATACTCACATTATCTTTCAAGCTGTTACTTCCATCGGTTCTTCTTCTGTAAAGGAAATATCATCTAGTGAAACACTGAAGAAGACAAACTTTTAACCTCTGTCAACCAGAATTAAACATCCTACTACTACTGAAATAATGGCTAGATTCAAACTAGCCAGTAGTGGGATTTGCATTGGAAACACTGAGACTCTAGGCCTGCTGTACTTGTGTATCTGCCAGCACAAATGTGCAATGTAAAAACAATAGAGGTTAATGAATGAACAAAACAGGCCATCTGTATCGGAATCACAAGAAAAACTGTCCTATAATAAACATGAAAGGTCTCTGTTATATACTGAGTTTTAAATAAAGTACTATAGCAGTTTTCTGAAGTAGACGCACCAACCCATTTGGTAAAGCATACTGCACATTGTGGAACCGAATTATTTCCTCTGGTAAAAGGTAAAGTTCTCCCTGTGCTTAACGAATTAAGCACTACACCATGAAGGTGTATGGTGGAGCAGATGTATAGATCCATATTTTCTTGACCTTGACACTAGTTGGAGGTGAGTGATCAGCTTCACTACCCGGCCGATTTACCCCCAGGAGAGCCCCCATACCCATTGGATAAGAGGTTGGGTGGACTCCATGGCAGGTCTGAACGAAGTGGAGAAAACTCTTGACCCTACTGGGACTCAAACTCTGACACCTCGGTCATCCAGCCCATAGCCAGTCACTATACAGCCTACACTATCCCTATGGATTGTTATTAAATCTCCTTCACACATTGTTGTTTTTTCTTTTGTTAACATTCATAGCTATGTTTTGGCACAACCAGCAACACAACAGTAAATACCAAAAGAGAAAAGATAAGAGAAACAGTAGGAAATAAATTATGATGATTGCTTATAGTTTTGGCAGGTGGGATAAAGTTGCCTCGGTCTGTATTCTAACAAGAAACAAGAGTTGACAGACAACCAGCTCACAGATGGTGGTAAGGTTGTCAGCCTTATGCACTGGCTGCCCTTTACTCGCCCTGGAAGATTCCTGGTACTCATTTCCGCTAGAGCCCGAGTCAGCCCCAGGGCCATAGTGCAGCTGAAAGGATTAGGTCAACTAGAAAAATCCTCATCGGGACTTGAACCGGCGACCTTCAGACTTGTGTGGTGCTATAATTAAGTATAGTCAGGGGTCGTGTGTTAAAGTGGTCAATAAATCCAATCCAAACCCCAACTACAGTAACTCCCTCATATGACAATATGTTAGGTTGGCTCATTATACTCTTGTAGTAATGGCAAAATGTACTTACCCATTTCATTAAACATAAATTCATCCTGGTATTCTTTAAGAAACTGTGCAGATCTGCTTTCATCCAGAAAGAGTGAATAAACTCTCTTCACATCCTCAATGTTAACCTATAACAAGGGTGTGTAAGCACATATCAAACCTCTCAAACTATGATGTTATTGTTAATAGTGAGTGAAATCTGTGTCTTTTCATTTCAATAAACTCAAACTCTACTTTTAGAAGCAACTTCTTCAAACTTCAAGCCAAACCTGGGATTTAAAAAACACACACCAAAATGAATACTATACAAGTAACTCTAAAATAATATTTCAAATCAGGAAGACACTTATATGGTACTTTTATTATGCTAGTCTCTATATCTCAAATAGTGCACAGGGCATATTTATAGGTTCAATGTCACTGTCAGAATTTTTCTTCTCTTAAAATTAAATCATACTTAATATAATTTCAATTAGCATTGACTTAGTCTTTATGCTTAGTACCTTGACAGGCCACAATGGCCCACTGTACCAGCCGGCACCAGATGACAGAAGGGGAGCTCATGTTGGAGAGAAAATCTGGGAATCTGGAATTCTCAGAGAAAACCTACCCAGTGCCATTTTGAACATAACAATCCTACATGAACTGCCCTAGAACCAAAACTGGGCTGCTGTGGTGAGAAGCTGACATCTAACAGTCTGAGCTATGGCAGAGCCACAAATAACACTGATACATCACCTATAAACTAAACAATGGGACCACTATGCCTGTCATACCTCAGTACTCTTTCTTTTTCGACAGACGAGACTAGCAGTTGTGATGAGCTGAATGGCATAACGGAGAGAAGTTTCAAGAGCAATACGTGTCAAAACAGTGAGAGCATCATCAGACATTTCACAGTCTTCCTCCTCACATCTGCAACACATCCATACAAGACCAGTATATACTGAGTCACCAGAATTTTAATGCAGTTAGTTGATATGAGAACGCACCTCTTACGCAGCAAGCCTGGGGCCTGAGTAAAATTTCTGGGATTTCCTTCATTTCCAGTCAATGTCTTAGCATGTACTTAAGATAAAAGATAAGTATGAAAATCTAAATAGAACATCTTGTTTACTTACCATGTGATAAAAAACTGGGATAAATAAACAAAATAATCATGGAAAAACAAAAGTACATACAAAAGGGTAGAGCTTTAACCAAGGAGGGGTACACGTCATTCAAACAAAGCAGCCAGATGGCAAATTACTCAAATCATACTTGCCAATCTGCCAGTTTAAAAACTAGCCCACTTTCTGGTCTTCCTAAACTTCTGAACGCCAGTGCCTGTAGTATACAATGGGGTACCCAAAAGAAACTGAACTAATTTTTTTGTGGGCAGAGCTTTTGTAGTACCGCGTTTTGCCGCTATGAGCACATAGAGCTAACATTCCTGAGTCGATAAGCTGACTACCGTTGCTTCAGAAGGTAAGGACTAGTTCGGCAGAGTTTATAGTGACAACTGTTTTGTGTGATCGTCGTTTTTGCAATGGCTGATTTTCGTGAACAGCGTGCGGCGGTGAAATTCTGCTTTTTGCTCAGGAAAAGTGGAACAGAAACTCTTGAAATGTTAAAAACGGCATACAAGGA